GGAAGGCCTGGCTGATGAGCAGAGCGGCAGAGTACTCCAGCAGCCAGATGGCACGGTTGATGAGAGCTTTGCCATATGGTGATAATACGACAGGCTGGCAGTCCAACAGCACCTCAGGTTTAACCTTGTTTACGCCAGATACGCACACACGATGTCTCGCCTTGCACCTTGGGTCATGTTTTCTATTTTCCTGTCATTCATCATGGTTTCCTATTTTATTTTAATACACGTGTTTTAGGCACTTCAGTGTTGTGTCATCTCCACCATCATGAGTGTCATCTGTGCCTCATTGTGCCATTCCCAGAGTTTATTTAATATGGTTGTACCTCTCTTTCTGTGCCAGACTGTATTGTGTGCTCCAGCCTCTAGTTCCCAGTGTACATTTTTAGGGAATTTGACTTCCCAGATTCCCTGTACTGCCATGGCCTGGTCCCTGTCAGCGGCTGAGTGATTACCAAACTTTTTTGTTAAAGTGAAGAGTGTTTATTTTATTTTATTTTATTTATTTTTTACTTTTAATTCTATCTCTCTAAGTTGTGCTTTTGAGTCCTGTGTCTGTAGCTTCATGGTCATCACAACATTTTACCTTCATTAGCTTCCACACAGGCAGTGGGTTATGTTATGCTAACCCACTGTGCTCCACAGTGTTCATCCTTGACACATGTTTATAGCATCCATCATATATTATAGATTAAAAGAGAGAGATGAGGATGTCAAGCTGGGAGAGAAACGGCCAGAAAGTGAGACCCCCCACTAGATAGAGGCGAAGAGTCTGGGAATAGCTAAGAATCAGTGAGACAAACAAGACAAGAAAAGAACAAAGCTAAACACAAGTTCCTTCTTGACAGTCAATCACCAACATTCTGATTGACTGTATCTGCCAGATATGTACAAATCCAGATAACAACAGTAGGGACGCTGTGTAAACAAATGTAAATAAAGAATTGATTTGCAAATGTCACAAACCCATATTTTAATCACAATAGATTAAATATAGGACATATCAGATGTATCCTTTTTTAAAAAAAAAGTATTTCTTCATTTTGAACAACACGTTAAAAAAGTTGGGAAAGGGCCATGTTTCCCACTGTGTAGGATGCCGTGTTCTTCTAACAACATCTGGAAACGGAGGAGACTGACTGCTGGATTCCTGTGAGAGGAATGTTGTCCTAATCTTGTCTGATAGAGGGTTCAAGCTGCTCAAAAGTCCTGGATGTTCTTCGTGGCATTTTTTTTTTTTTGTTTGTTCGTTTGTTTGTTTTGTGATGTATCAGATGTTTTCAGTTCGTGAAAGGTCTGGACTACAGGTCAGGTTAGCTCCCAGACTTCCATTATGAAGCCGTGCTGCTGTAATAGAGGCAGTGTGAGGTTTAGGAATCCTGCTGAAATGTGCAAGATTTTCCCTGAAAAGGTATTGTCTGGATGGGATAGTAGCATGTGTGCATTTTAATTCAGCTTTGGCCCAGAGAGATTGGGGACCTTTCTGGAGACTGTTCAGTAGTGATGGGATTTCCGGCTCTTTTTAGAGATCCGGCTCTTTCGGTTCTGCTCACTAAAAAGAGGCTCCGAACCGGCTCTTCAGGTTGTTTTGTTGCTTTAATTAATTTATTATTAACAATAATATAAAATTATGCACAAAAGGAATTACTAATGTAAAAAAAGTGGTTTTATTTATATATGTTTATATATATATATATGCGGTGGCCCCTAGAGACAAAACATGTACAATCTCCAAAACACATTTCTAGCATGAACTAAACTTCCAAAGCAGAGCTACTAGATCACTTAAATTACACAATTGAAAGCATGTGTGTATTGTTTGTGTATTTATACACAGGCACTCATATATATTCAAATAATTTAAAAAAAAGTTCATTTACCTGTTACTATCACACACCAAATCTGGTCGTTGGTACTTGCTGGCTTGTATAGCCACAAGATAACAAAAGCTCAACACTGCGCCCAGCATCCTGGAGCACTTCTGTTGTCTTTTGTACGTGTTTTGAGTTTTTATGTGCTTCTGAGTTTTTATGTGCTTCGGAGTTTGTACATGTTTTTACGTGTTTTGGAGTTTTTACGTGTTTTGGAGTTTGTACGTGTTTTTACGTGTTTTGGAGTTTGTACATGCTTCAGAGTTTGTACGTGATTTGAAGTTTATATGTGCTTTGTCTCTAGGGGCCACCGTAAATATACTTTTATTTATTCACTCCACATAAAATTTAATAAATAAATCATATAATACAAAAATCAACTATTCACATTTCAACTTTTAACCATTTAAATTTTCAGCTGTTTCCTTTTACAAATTTAAAGTGAAAACAACACAAAACACTGCAAACCACAACACAATTAAATATAAATTATAATATGAAAACAAAAAGAACATGCATATTCTCTGTCATATGGGCCTGCATGAATAAATTTTCTGAATCCTTTATCATCTGCAACCGAAAATAGTTGTGGATGATTACTATACCTTTCTAATGTGACGTTGTTGTCCCTGCCTCTCTTTCTCTCTCTCTCCCTCTGGCTCTGTTCCTGTGCTACTGAGTGTAACGACCGCCCCTCCCCCCTCTGCCCAGCGTAAAGCACAAGGCTCGCGTGCAGAGTGAAGCGGAAAAAAAGTGCGAGAGAGAGGGTGAGAGAAAGAAGAAAAAAAAACCACGTGACGGCTCGCGATAAGGAGCCGGCTCGCGTCGTTCATGTCAAAGAGTCGGCTCTAAGAGCCATTTCGTTCGCGAACGACCCATCACTACTGTTCAGGCAGTGGCTTCTTCTTTGAATGATAAAGCTTTAACCTGTACCTGTGGACAGCACAGTAACCAGTGTTCAGAGACAATGAACTTTGGAAGTCTTCCCAAGCTGTGCAGTGATTTCCATAACAATATCATGCCTGTTTTTAATATGGTGCCCTAGAAGCCCCAAAGATCACATGCATCCAATATTGATTTTGTGTCCTTTCCTTTGCACACAGAGATTTCTCCAGATTTTTTGAATATTTTTATGATATTATGTACTGTACATGATGACATATTCATAGTCAATTTTATGTTGATGAGCATTATTGTGAAATACACAATTTACAGATTAGTGATCCTCTGCCCATCTTACCTTATGAGAAACTCTGCCTTACTAAGATGCTCTTTTTATGCACAGTCATGTTACTGATCAGTTGCCAGTTATTTTAATTAGTTGCTATGAAATTCAAAATAAGCTAATATTTATTGGAAAACAATTAATATGGTTTTATGTTCTACAGTGAATAAAATATGGGTTTTGAGATTTTCAAATGACTGCATTCTGTTTTCATTTACATTTTACAAAGCATCCCAACTTTTTCAGAGTTAGACATATAGCACTCTTTCTAATTAGCTTGAGACATATGGATAAACAAACAAGCACTGTAGTGAGCTAAAAGGCATATGTAGAAAGAACCATAATTCCCCTGAGTTTCATCAAAATTGAATCAGAGGTATTTCCCAAAATTGTTTCTGACAAACATGCAAGTGAACCAGCAGATGGGTTGAGAGTGACTTCAAGCTTGTTCCATTTCATTATAGGAACAAAACATGCAAGATATTAAATTTGCTATACACAGAAGGGATTTTAGAAGCTCTGGACCCTGAGTGAGTGCATAATTACGCTGTACAGTTTGCGTGTTTAGCTGACATTTACTCGCAGAACTAAACAATGAAAGAAAAATAAATGAACAGATGAGTGGAGCTGCAGAGTTTGCCAGTGCAGTTGGCTCAAGGAACTTCCAAAATATTGAATTCAATTCAAACATCGGAAGTTTCACTCACTCTCCAGCACAGAGTTTCAGTCATTGTCCTCAGGAAGTCGATCACTGCTGATTTGGTCCTTCCAAAAACATTACCATGTTCAGTTGGTGTGAATATGTTGCTTGCAAACTGTTTGAGGAGTGCAAAATAGTCCCTGATTATATAGTATGACAACATGACAATCAGGCACACTATTAAGATCAAAACACACGTCATCACAGCAGACAAAGTC